GAGTTTTCAAGGACAGCTGATGTTAATTGACCCCAATTCTTAGGGTCACCTTGTTATTCCTTGCCCATGATTCTACCAATTGCTTCACATATGGTGAGTGCATGCCATAAGAGACTACTGCTTCCTTTATACCTTTTAAATCTTTCATACGTATTGGTTCCCACTGATAAGCAATGACACCTTTTGGGTGTTTTTTTCACAGCTGCTTTTTCATTAATAGATACAGGAAAAGCTCCCCTGACCCTAAATGGTGTGGAAAATTTTAAATCTTTTTCATGCCCTGTTACCTGTAGTTCTTCTTCTGATGTATCAGAAGGGCTTCTAAAGCCTGAAATCTATTCACCATTGTTTCTTTGAGTGTCTGAACTTCTTGAATCAAATAACTTTCTAGAGACTTCATTGCATCAGCCAGTTTCTTACTTTCTCCAACTAACAAATGATTCCATGTTTTTAATATTCTCATCCTTAGATATCATCTGAATGGCATGTAAACTGCCTTCCAGAAACAATGTTCTATCTGCTAACTTGCCATTATCCTCAGACATGGAAGAGATTCTATCATCTACTCTTTCTATGGAAGAGATTCTATCATCTACTCTTTCTATCTGATGTTCCAGTTTTTTAAACTTATTAGTAGCTTCCTCTGACCAGGAACGAGCTGTGTCTGCTAGCGTGTTAATGCATTGCATTGTTTCTGTTCTGGTTATTGAGGCATCAGACATGGAACAAATTCTGTTTTCTACTTGGTCATTTTTATGTTCCACGGTTTGTATTCTACCTGTCAGTCCTCAAATGCCATCTTCAATATTCTGAACCTTTTTTTCTAAGCATTCTATGCTTTGAATTCTATCATTTTCCATGTTTCGAATCCTTGTTACTAAGTCTCCTACAGTTTGTACAAGTTAATTATTTTTTGCTGTAATCTCAAACCATTTCTTTAAGAATATCATGTTAATGATGAAACCCATTGCTATTACACAATAAAAGTACGGGCTCGAGAGATGGCTCAGCCTTTAAAGTCTAGGCTCATGACCAAAAACAAAATAAAAGTACATATTGGTCCAGTCATAATTTTCTTCTGCTAAAATTCCTTCTACATATGAAGTAAAAATAATTCCTAAAGTCCTGCATTGTAAAATTATCTGCCATAGGTATGGAAAAATTGATCTCAGATATTATATCAGCTTAAATTGCAAAGGATGTTACAATTACTTTAGGTGTAATTCTGCTGTCCTGGAACTTTGATGCTTTTAATTGTAGATCTAAGCATGTGGTAGTTATGCCTGGAGGTGTACCACCAAATAGTGTGCAGCCACACAGAGGACCCGTCTGAATCCGGTTCTGCCCGGAAGTGTACCTCCAAATACAGTCCGGCAGCAGGCGATCCTTTTGATCCCGGTCCCTGTAGAATAGCTCTTAACAAACTATGGCAAGCTAAATTTTGTTAGACAACTGAGTAAAAGGAGTCTTGTGGAATTGCCAGGACCATAGGGCTAACCGCGGGGAACGCACAAGCAGTGCGGGTGCCAAGAGGCTCTGCATGAATGCAAAGTGCGGAAATGGGCAAAAAACGAGAAGCAGTGAGTGCCTTCTCATTCCCACTGTGGAGGCAAAGGAGTTGTAGGGCAGAGGCAAATGTCCACCTGGTTAGGCAAGGGACCCTGTCTGTTTGGGATGGTGAGGGAGGGGAGGGACGTCTGCCACCTGGGTGAAATCCAGGTCCCATAAAAATCCTAATCCCGCTTCTGACACCAGATATTGAGGTTAAATAAGGATCAGGATAAACAAATAGGGCGAATAGATATTTATTCAGGGAGAAATAACTTACAATCTAGGCAGATGAACACCAGCAAGTTCCACCGGATGCTCTCCTGTCCGTGTCCCCCCAGCAAGAAAGAGTGCCCTGGCTCTTCCTCAGACCTCCTTCCACAGGTCACTTCTGCCCCTGGCTCCACCCCCAATGGGCATGGTCAGTGCCACAGAAGGAGATAAAGTAAATATCTCACTACAATCCCTTGTATTTTTTTTTTTTTTGAGACAGCAACAGCATTTCTCTGTGTAACCACAGTATAATCCTGGAACTAGCTCTGGAGAGCAGGATGACTTGGAACTCTCAGAGATTTGCCTGTCTCTACCTCCTGGGTGTTTTGATTAATGGTGTGTGCTGCAAGATACACAGCAGACCCAGAGACAGATATTAGGGTTCAAGCTTAGGTGAAATATAGAGAAGAAAAGCAGCCAAGCCACTACCTCTTTGTAAGGAGTAAGTTTTTTCCTCCTGCTGCTGGTCTTGTCCCGCCGCCGCGCCAGCCCCAATTAACACACTGAGACTCTGTATTTGATATAATGCTCTTGGCCAGGTACTAGTTTCTTATCGGCTATCTCTGTCTTAAGTATTAACCCATTTTTGCTAATCTATGTATTTCTACGTGGTCTCCTCTTACCCTCGGAGAGCCGGCTGGCGTCCTGCTCTCTCCAGACTTTCCATCTTGAGTCCTCCTTACTCCTTCCTTTTTCCTCCTTGTCTCCTAGTCCCTCCTATCTTCTTTTCCTATTGGCTAACAGTGCTTTATTCATTAGCCAGTATGAGAAACATATATACAGAATGACATCTCCCATCATCTCTTACCTTTGTGTCAGGCTGAAATGGCTCATCTGTCCCCACAGGCTGGAGAATCCTGAGACTGACTCCTGAAGACCCTGCTTCTACCTTTTATACCTCTCTAGTGCTGGGATTAAAGGTGGGATCACTGTAACTGTGTCCTGGGATTGAAGGTGTACCTGACTTCTATGGCTAGCTAGTATGGCTGCTTTGCTATTTCCATCTAAACTGGCTTTAATAAATCGGGAACAATATATCACAATAGGTGAGTGCTACCTCCTCACTAAATTAGCATTTCTTTTCTTTCTTTTTTCTTTTTCTTTCTTTCTTTCTTTCTTTCTTTCTTGCTTGCTTGCTTTCTTTTGTTTGTGTTTTGTTTTGTTCTTTTTTTTTGAGACAAGGTGTTTCTTTGTACCTTTGCAGCCAGCCTATCCTGGAGTTGAATAAAGTGAGATCCCACTTCCTTTGCCTCCCAAGTACTGGGATTACAGGTGTGTACCTCTACCACCCATCCACAGGAGGACCCCTTACAAGCTTATTTGCTGTGCTGTGTACAGGCTGATCTTTTGGCCTCACCTGTAGTCCATAAATTAGTCAACTCTGCTGAGGTCTGGGAGCCTACCACTTCTGATGGGCCATCAAGTGGCCATTACTCAGGATGAGAAAGAAGGCACTAAGTCAACATCTGCCTGGAATTCATAGTGACTCAAGACCAGTATCAGGGATTTAGGAGACCTTGTGTCCCATGGGAAAACATGAAATGATCCATGAGTGGTTAATGGTGACACTGGCCTGGGATATACATAGGGGCGTTCACATCTTTCCGTATAGGGAAGAGAAGGAACTGAGACTGGATTGAATGAGGAGACTTTAATCCTGAGTGTTGGGAATAAAAGGTAAGAGCCACTACACTGAAATTTATTTGAGGATATTCAGACTTTCCTAAAATAGGCATGACTGTTTTTGAACTCCAAATCTTTCTGGCTGTGTACAGATTCCTGAGCCCATTTTTTTGATTTCTAGTAAGAATGTTCTATAGTTCAACCCCTTTGGAATCCCTTCAATAAGGCTTAACTGATTAGGGTTTTGTAATTGTTTTAAGTATAATTTCCCTGAAGTGTAGCTTACAAGTTATTCTGGGATGTACTACTTGCTTTGTGAACACAAACACATGACCCTGATGAGCTGAGAACTGATCTCGTGGAATGTGGTTGTTTCAGCCTTGACTATTTGACTTGACATTATCTGAGAGTGACATTAAAAGAAGAAATATCCAGGACCCACATAGAAGACACACATGAAATCTACAATTAAGGTTACCAGCATAGAAGATCACATATACAGGATAGGCACTGGGTCTTGAGGAGACATCATATCTACATATGAAAGACCTTAGTTTGCAAAGAAAAAAAGATAAGAAGTTTCTCACAGGTATTGGCCCAGAACAAGGAAATAGGCCCCAACCCTGGATCAAATGGTTCCAGATGAACAGCACTTTCTGGGTCACCCCTAAACAATGGACAGTCTGGGGACTTTACAAGGTACATTCTGTGGGATTTCCTTTGAAGAAAAACAGGTCACACCTGGGTGACCTTTCAAACATGAGATCATATTTTGTAATCAATTACCTTTTCCCTAATGCATGTATGCTGATTTGCAATTTTTGTATATAAAAAGAGCCTAAAACCTTTGAGGTGTGTGCAGCTTTCCCTGAGATTGCTGACACCTGAGTTCAAGGTCACCTTCAGTTACAATGTCTCTTAATAGATAGCCTGAAAACTTGACAGCCAATCCTATATCATAACTCTACAAATAGGCAAGCAAACAAAAATACATTTAGGAGAAGGCATCAGTAAATCTCAGAATCCTGGATTCTAGAGTCACTGTTTATGCTCCTGGAGATCTGTGACCACATGGAGATACCAAATTAATCCAAAACTAGGTACATAAATAGAAACTAAAAAATAAAACTGTTGGAGAATGATTCAATGAATAAGTGAGTAACATTCAGGCTAGCCTTGGCTTTTCTGAATTTTTTTTCACGAAAGGAACAATGTCCTACTAGACAGTGATGAAAAAATGGATGTCATCTGTTAGAACTCAAGCATCTGATCAGATGGCTGCTATTGGTTGGGAGGTGGAGTGGGGAGGAAGAATTGAGAGGAAAAGAAGTGCTACTTTTCCTGTCTGAGGCTGAGTCTTCACTGTTGGTCCTCAGCATGTAATGAGTCCCTGATTCTCCATGTCAAAGGTTCAGTCTCTCTCTCCTCTTATTAAATGGAACAGCATTGTCTCCAAATATCTCCAAAACACTTTGAACAGACATGCTCTGTGTCTCTAATGTGTCCCTCGAGTCCTAGCATTCATTTCTCAGAGGCCAGCAGTAATCTCTCATCTTTTATTCCCAACAAGAACATAAGGAGGCCTCCAGGCCATAGACACAGAATCCTGAGCAATTTATACATCTCCTACTCAGAAAATATACCTTTTCCGGCTGTCTTATACCTCTGAGGGTCTCCAAAAGTTCTGAACAATGTTGGGAAAATCTATCTGGTAGGACATAGCCAGTGATACTATAGACTTCTTCAGGGGCAGGGTACCTCTCCAAGGTGAGCTCTTTCAGGTTGGCAGTGTGCTGCAGCAGATTCTTAAGGCCGGACAGAGACAGGAAGTTCCATGAAAAATTGACCTCAACCAGCTGGGAACACTGACTCAGGGCAGGGAGGAGGACACTGAATTGTAAGTCCGTGAGTGAACAACCCTTCAATTTTAATGTCTTCAGAGAAGATTTCAGTCTCTCTAGCAGTCTTCCTAGAAGTGGATGACTTAAATCTAAAAAGTTGACACCACTCAGGTCCAGATGTGTGAGGTGATGGACTCTTGGGTACTGGGACAGATAATTCATGTCTGATTCTGAAAGCATGCAGCAAGTGATTGCAAGAGTTTTTAAGGGACTCTCCAAATACCTACAGAAAGACAATGATGTTTATGTTAGTAAGTATAAAAGTGGTAGAGAAAGGGAGATGAGTTCAAGAAAGTGGAGGCTAGTTAGTCGTAACATCGTGAAGGCCATGCCCAGGATGTTTCCTCTTGGAGGGTTAATAAAACATACACCATCATTGTGACTGTGTCTATCCATAAATCTGTTTCCTCTGCATTGTCAAGTACAAAACTACATCAGCGGAAATCAAGGACCACCTAGGGGAAACTTAGAGCCATCCCTGTATGAGCCAACATTGGTCTCCATGACTCCCACCTGCCCAGCACAACCTCTGTCCTGCTTACAGGGCTTCCCTGTGGCACAAATCACTCTCAGTTATTCTCCATTGACTCAGGCCCTACATGTGCCCAGAGAAGCCCTGTCCCTTGGAGAATCAGAGTGACATATAAACTATGCATACGTTCTGAGGACAGTGCTGACATGGGGCAATATGTGGTTTAAAACCTTGTCCCCTCTGGAGATGTGTTTTCCCCTCACATGGGTGACTAATAAAGACTTTTTCATGATAATGGATGCTAAAGTAGCAGAAAGACTACTAGATCAATGATCCTAAGGTCATATCCGTGTGTACTCACTAGTGGCTGGGAAGCCCCACGTGTCATTGATGTGTCATGTAACAATGGAAGACTCTTCGCTAGCCTGTGGAACAAGCTCTTTATCTTTCCTCACCTGAGCACTTGGTCCAGTCTTTCAAGGAGGAAGAAGGCAGCATTCAAATATAGATACTGGAGCTTGGTGAGTTGGGAGAACTGGGAAATGATCTGTCTTATACTCAATAGTTTCAACTCATTGTTCCTAAGCCATTCAATGGGTATGAAGATTTCATTGAGAAGGAGTTTCTGAAGGTTTCTCATCTGGCCCAAGCCAGGGGCAAACATTGAGAAGGTTGTCAGGTCCCAGTAAGCATTCACTTCCAGTTCCTGTATACAGTTTGGCTCAAATACTTCCAGCAGCTCTAGGGGGTTATAGACAGGGAGGGCCCAAAACTCCAGCTTTTCACAGATCACTTGCAGCACATCTTTTCTCTGCTGGGCCCAGCAGTGGAAATATTCCAGGTATTTGCAGAGATTGCTGGAATTGAGGGAAAGGTTCATCACCACAGTCACAACCTCTTTTCCCTGTCTTTCGGGATGGTGCACCACTGGTTGGGTCTCTCTGACGACATCTGGGGAGCAGACACCATCCTCTGTTCCAGCCCACACATTCCAGAAGTTATGATGGGCATCCCGAAAATCAAGCACCTCTAGTTTGCAACTCCTGCTGGTCAAACAAGAAGGGGATTCAAATGGCAGGACTAACAATGTATAATCTGCTTTCACCTCACACATCCACTCCCCTTGAAAGCATTCTGGAAAGTAAGACTCGATCCCTTTCTAGGGGCTGGCGACAGAGGCCATGGTAGACTCATTGTGTGTTGACTACATCTCTTAGCAGTGTGCTCCATGCACCACTGTCTCTCTTCCTTTATTCACTTCTCTAAGAAAGCTCTGATTCAACTCCATCTACATTCTGAACTCTGTAGTCACTTCTCTGCATCCACTATTCCCCTCCATGCTCACACTTTCTCACTCACCTAGGTCGATCCTTCTGCTGAATAAGCAAATCAAGACCATCCAGTACAGCCTTCAAGATCTTCAGGTCAGGATTCTTCATCAGGGCTCCCACAGGAAGGCATGTGAAGGGCCAGGCTGCTACCATAGCCCTCAGGATATTTTTCTGTTTCCCCTTAAAGGCAACTTTGAATAGTGGTGGGAAGAGTTCAATGGGTAGCTTATTCAAAGCAGAGATAGCCAAGGCTTCATTTTTGAGCAGGCTACTTCTTGCCAGCATCTGGAGTGTTGATGGGGAGCTCATTCTGACCTGCACATAGACAGGTGCTATAGAAATACCCAGAGGAATAATCACTTTCAGGAAAAGGATTTTAGCATGCTGCTTTGCTCCTTCATTGCATAAACCATGCAGGCCTTTATTCTAGAAATTTTGGAAACCCTGTGTTTCCTATTACTCACTGTCTGTCTTTCTTATGCCATAGGTCCCTCAAAAGCCTCATGGACATGAGCACCTATGGGAACAAATTTTCCTTTTATTCTGCCAATCATGTCTGTTCCCTATAATCCTTCTGCCCTGGGCAATGAGAAAGTGGAGGGTAGGGGAGGCAGACTCATTTGTGGGATACCATCTTCTAATGTTTCTCATGATCGTCAAGAGCAAAGTGAAAGATCCCACAGCCAAGTATGCCTTGCATTCAATCAATGGAAGTTGTTGGAGAATATGTGAAATGGATAGTCACTATGATTTTAATACTTCAGACTTGGAGCCACACTAAGTTCTAGACTACTCTATGTGAGTTTGAATACTGAGAATTTGTCAGCTTGATGCTTTTCTGAGAATCATGGTCAACTGTCTGCTTCTATAGAATTTTCTTCATCTTCAGTTAACAAGTCTATAATACCTTTGAATTAAATACTTTTAAGGTACACTGGAGTTGTTGGTCAGTACTTGCTCAGTGTGTCTTAGCCCTCCAATATTGCAAGCCTAGCACTCTCTTAAAGGGCACAGCACTTTAGCTCCAAGTCTTAGTACTCATAACACTAAATACATATGGTATTGAAGGCTAACCTGGGCTAAATGAGATTTTCAGGTTCAAACAGCCAAACCAAACATAACAACAAAATCAATATTACCTAGATGACCTGATACTGCTGATCCTGGGTAAGGTTGTGTGTCCTCATGGGGGTAAATGACTTCCCTGATCAGGACACACCCAGGATCCCAACCCAGCAGGTCTGGTAGTCACTAGAGGAATTCAACAAATAGTGTCTACCCTGGCCTTGTTAACCCTTACATCCCATTTCTTATCACACCTTCCCTTCATAGCCCCACCTCCCAGACAAATCTACCATCTGATTGGATAAGTGAGCATGTCCCCACCCAACCCTACTTGGACTTTTACATCCATTGCTTGAGTGAATCAGATGTGGGGAAGCAGGAAATCACAGATTGCATTCATGATCCCAAAGCCTCTCTAACACTTGTTCATGACCCTGCATGGGTGGATTGTGCCTTTAATCCAAGCACCCGGGGAACAGATGCAGGCAGGTCTCTGTGAGTTTAAGGCCAGCCTATTCTACAGAGAGATTTCCAAGACAGTCTCCAAAGCAATACTAGAAACCTAATCCTGAAAAACCAAAAACACAACAAAACAAGCAAACAAAGAAACTTCTCCCCAAATACTCAGTTCTGGGATTCACTGTCTTCATTACATTTAGACATTTGTAATTTTTCCATATAAATTGGATCAATGTAGCTTGGTCAAATCTGAACTCATTATGCATTCTGAGCTGACCTAGAAGTCTCAGTAATCCTCCTACCTGAGTATAGTGGTATGGCTTGTATGTGACCAGTTTGATTAAATCTCCCATCAGGAAAGAGAATGAACTGAGTCTATGGTGACAGTAAAAACCCATTCCTCAAGTCACCTGAAACAATAAGGATTTGCCTAGATATTGTTAATTAATTATTAAATTAATTAATTTTATGTTCGTGACAACTTTCCTTTTTATGGAACCATTGCCATGATGAGTGGAATCAACAATGGGCTTTCAATAACATTCCCACCTTAGCGGAAGAGTATCTACACAGGGCATGTTCAGGTTGAATATATCTACTTTCAGGACAGAGAATGAACTGAGTGAGAGCCTGGTGTAAATAGGAAATTACTTATATTTTTCTTTTGACACAGGATTTCTCTGTGTAACCAAATTTTAGTTTGCAGAGCAAGGATGTAGGAAAGGGGCAGGAGAATAATTCTTGCAAGCAGAATATAAAAAATCACAAATAATGGATGTGTATATGGGTGGAAAATTCAGGAATTATGAGAACAAGAAAGGTTACTATGGTGATGGGGCTAGTGGTTATATGCTAGACTGATCTTGTTAAATAGAGCTAGTTACTGAATCATCAATTGTTTGTGGAATAACTGAAGGCTCTAAATGTACAGCCAGAGAAAGCCAGAGTAGGAAAGAAGTTTCTCACAGTTCTTGGCCCACAACAAGGAAATAGGCCCACAACCATGGAACAAATGGTCCCAGATGAACAGCCCTGTCGTTGTCATACCTAGCCAATGGACAGTCTGGGGACTTTCCAAGTCATTCTATGGCTTTTCCCTTAAAGAAGAACAGATCACAGCTGGGTGATCTCTCAAACGAGATCATACTTTCCCATGCATGTATGCTGATTTGTGGTTTGACTCTATAAAAAGGAGCCTAAACTCTTTGAGGGGGGTTCATTTTTCCCCAAGATTGCTGACACCTGAGTACACTCTTTCCATGAACACCTCTTGCTTGTTACATCTACTGGTTTTGATGTTTGTGCAGCGGGGCTCACCCATCAGCCCATCAGGACCCCACAAGTAGGGTCCAACAAAACTAGTTCTGAGACCAGGCTGTCCTGGAAATCTACATCCCATGTGCTGCTATTAATGTTGAGAGTAGCAAGATATGTAACAGATCCAGAGACAGATTTTAGGGTTCAAGTTTAAATTGAAATACAGAGAAGCAAAGTAGCCAAGCCACTACCTCTTACCTTTACCACAGGCTGAAAGGCTGATCTGTCTCCACAAGGTCTCATCAAGTTTCTGACTGCTTCCACTCCTTGGTGAGGCTGGAGAATCCTGAGGCTGAATATTGAAGTTCCTGTTCGACCTTTTATACTGCTCTAGTGCTGGGATTAAAGGTGTGAGCTCTGTAACTTTGTCCTGGGATTAAAGGTGTGCCGGACTTGCATGTCTAGCTAAGATGGGTGCTTTTCTATTTTTTTTTTTGTTTCTTTTTTTTCTTATTTTACATATCAATCCCAGTTAGCTCTTCCTCCCTTCCACTCTCCACCTCTGTCCCTCCCTTCCTCCTATGCCCTCGGATCACCCTCCCATCCCCTTCCCCCTCCCCACTCTACAAGTAGGGTGATGCCATCCAGGAGAGATCAACAAAATCTGTCAAGTCATTTGGTGTAGTGTCTAGGCCCTCTATCCTGCCACTAGGTTAAGAGAATATCTCTCCAGGGGGGAATGTGCTCCCCAAGTCCTTTTGTGCACCAGGGACACATCCTAGTTCCACTGTCAGAGGTCCCTCAGACTGTCCAGGCCTCCTATCTGAGACCCATGTTCAGGGGATCTGAGTGAGTCCAGTGCTGGTTTTCCAGCCATCAGTCTGGGATTTCATTAGCTCCCCCTTTATCAGGTCAGCTGTCACTGGGGGTTTCTGTAGCCTGGTCTGTCCCCATTTTCTTATCACAACTCTGAGATACCATCTTACTCCTGCTTTGCCACCACCACCTTAGTGAATTAGGATTTTTTTTTTTTTTTACTTTTTGTTCTTTCTCTCTTTTTTCTTTCTTTCTTTTGTGGTTTTGTTTAGATAGGGTTTTACTGTGTAGCTTTGGATCCTATCCTGAGGTTGAATTAAGTGAGATCCCCCTTCTTCTGCCTCCCCAGTATTGGGATTAAAGGTGTGGACCTCTATCACCCAGCTAAATGAGAACCGCTTACAAGCTTGTTTGCTGTTCTGTGTAGAGGCTGACCTTGTGGCTTCACTTGTAATCCATTACAGAGTCAACTCTGCTGAGGTCTGAGAGCCTACCAATTCTGATGGCCCATCAAGTGGCCATTACTCAGGATGACGAGAAAGCATGCACAAAGTCACCACCTGTCTGGAATTTAGAGTGACTGAAGACCAGTATCAGGGATTTAGGAGACCTTGTGTGTGGGAAAATATGTAAGGAGTAAGGTTTTTCCTGCTGGCCTGGTCCCACCACGGCACTAGCCCCAATTAACACACAGAAACTCTGTATTTGATATAATTCTGTTGGCCAGGTACAAGTCTCTTAATGGCTAGCTCTGTCTTAAGTATTAACCCATTTCTATTAATCTAAATATTTCCACCTGACCTCATCTTATTGTAGAGTGGGCCAGTACCTCTGTTCTATCCTCTCTCTACATGCTGCCTCCTCCCTCCACTTCCTCGAATCCTCCTTGTCTCCTAGTCCCACCTATCTTGCTTTCCTATTGGCCAACAGTGCTTTATTCATTAACCAGTATGAGAAACATATTTTACAGAATGACATCTCCCATCAAAAATATGAAATGCTCTGTGAGCTGCTCATGGAGTCAGTGGCCTGGGAGGCATATCGGGGCTTTCATATCTTCCCATGCAGGAAAGAGAATGAGCTGAGACTGTGTTTAAGGCAAACTCTAATCCCTGGTGTTGGGAATAAAGGTAAGAGCTACCACACTGGAATTCCTTTGAGGATTTTCAGACTTGCCTAAAACAGGCAAGGCTTTTCTTGAACTCCAGATCTTTCTTCCTCTGTACAGATTCCTGGGTCCATTTTAGAATTCTAGTAAGAATATGTTCTATACTTCAATTCCTTAGAAATCCCTTCACTAACTGGGTTTTATAATTATTTGAGTAATAATTTCCTGAAATGTAGCTTACAAGTTGTTCTGAGATCTGCTACTTGCTCTGTGAACACAAGACACATATCCGAGCTGAGCTGATAACTGATCTCTCAGAATGTGGTTACTTCAGCCTTGACTATTTGACTTGATATTGTCTGAGAGTGACATTAAGAAAATGAAATATCCAGGACACACATAGAAGACACACCTGCGAATTACAATTAAGATCAATAGCATAGAAGATCACAAGTCCAGAATAGACATACTAGCCTCAAGGGACATTGTATCTACATAAAATTAAACAAAAACAGATAGATATATGTGGCTCAAACTCACAGCAATTGTAAACTGGGCTCAAACCCCACAATTAGTCCACCTATATGAAGACATAACATATCTT